GGGGGTTGTAGGTTAAGTTTAGGCAAGTCCTCTGTGCTTTCCATTGAAGGTGCTGGGGAGAGGTGGGGGCAGTAAAAGTTAGAATTTTAGAGCCTGCCTGTTTTTTATTTTATGATTGGCTTTTTTTCTCTCTTGCTCTCTTTTTACGGGCTGTGAGCTACAGCTGGTGGTGTGAATAGCTGCCCAAGGTGACTGAGTCCCAATAAAGTGCAGGCCAGCCAGGCTGGGGCCTCCAGTCCAGCCATGGGACTGCCTTTATAAGCCAACTTACGAGCCTAGTCCTCTGTTAAAACCTGGCAGGGCTGCACTGAGGAATTTAGGGCCAGGAAACAAGAGAAAAATAGGGTTTGTGTGTCAGGGGATGGTGGTGGGATGCAGAGTAGGGGGTTGAAGTTAGAGGGTGACCAAGGGTGAAACTGTTTGTGTGCAAGTGTGTGCAAGTGTGTGTTTGTGGTTTTGTGGCATGTGTGGTTAGCATCTTATATTTCTCAGGGGGAGTATGGAATCCATACCCTGCACACTTGAACCTTCCAAAAGAGCCTATATGGGGTCCACTTTGGAATATAATGAAGTGTAATGTACCATATCAAGTATGTGACTCGAGTAAGCACTGATGTCACAGCTGTGCCTCAGTTTTTGAGACATAGAATCAGGGCTCTGCACCAGCTTTGCGTGTCCGTGCATTTGTCATGTGCCTGTGCTGTGCGTGCAAGATGTTCACATGAGATGTTGTCAATGTGTGGAATGAGGAAAAGCCAGCTTTGACTCTTGACTTTTCTCAACTCATTAGCTCGCTCTGTTACCTGTCCTTATCAAAGAACCTGTCAGACACTGTCAGTTACATCTTAGTGATGTAAAAAGCAGTTTTCTCACAGCTGTCAAAGAGCCCTTCTTCTCTTATTTATTGTCTTTACAGAGACAAGAGTTATATGCGAAGACAATATGACAATATGTTCTATGCGATATCCCCAAAGGGCCCCTGAGTTTGGCTCCTTAGTGATAATTGGTACCAGGAAATGGGAACACTTGATAGTTCATATGTTATTTATCTTTTGAGACTTAAATGTGTCTCACTCCACGTCCAGGCAAAATGTTTACCAAGCGAGCATGACTGTTAATCAGTGTCTGTTGGTGGAACCTCAGTCATATCTGCCGTGTCATTTCTTAGTGTGGTTATCTATCCACATCTGCTACATGTATTCACAACTCCACATGTGGCATTTGCAGAGTTAGTAATAGTTGTACGATAATGATTAGTAACTGATCATGTGCTCCACTGTCTTTTCTTTCCATGTTCACAGCGGTGGAGACCCAGAGCAACAGCTCAGAGGAGATGGTACCCAGTTCTCCGTCTCCACCTCCCCCACCTCGAGTCTACAAGCCCTGCTTTGTGTGCCAGGACAAGTCCTCCGGGTACCACTACGGGGTCAGCTCATGTGAAGGCTGCAAGGTGAGAAGAACCAATCTTTTGAACACTGGGTTTTCTGAAATAGAAAAAAATTTCGATTCTCTATTTTGCATTCACATGATAAAAGAGGGATGGACAAAGGGCAGGCTGAAAGAGATACAGCGATATGTCACAGCCTTTATAATGATAACTGTATTGCACATTCTCCCTTGCCCTCTTCCCTTTTGTGTCTTGCTTCCTGATGTTCCAGGGTTTCTTCCGTCGCAGTATCCAGAAGAACATGGTGTACACTTGCCACCGAGACAAAAACTGTCAGATCAACAAGGTCACACGCAACCGTTGTCAGTACTGCAGGCTGCAGAAGTGCTTCGAGGTCGGCATGTCCAAGGAAGGTGAGTCCCTCAGCGTTGGAGATATAGAGAGACCCGTTTGGAAAACAGGGTCACTCTCTCACTTGCACATAGAGACTGAGAAACTAGGCAGCAAAGACAGAAGCAGATGATGAGCCCACCAGGGGTGGTGATCAGGGTGAGGCTGGGCACTGTACCAATCATATGACTAATCCCTTTACAAAATGAATCTGACTTCCTGTTTCACCACAAAACCTCGCCCCTCTGGCCAGCACACAGACACTGCTTTCATTCATAAAGCAACACAGGAGAAAACAAGATTTGGGAGTTTTGACCAACATATTGAGAACAGGATTCACGCCATTTGCGCAATCAGAAACACCAGCTTGTTGGGGGGGGGGGCTTTTTATTTCAACCTTTTGTGTAGCCAGCTGCGTGTAAGTGGCAGTTTCTTGCCCTTCATGAAGCCCGGGGGACATGTATGTGGGTGTAATGTTTGTGTGGGATGTGTGTTAAGACCGGGATCACATTGTGCCTCTGCTATTACTGGATATCCTGAGAGGAAGGAAAGTATGGGAGGAGGAGGAGGAGGTGGGAGAAGAGGCAGAGAGAGGGAGAGAGCGTACTGGCTTATGTGCACCGGTCAAGTGGATAGAGAGATGGACAAGGAAGCCAGCGGGTGATAAGAAGGAGATAGCCAGTGTCCGTGCCGGGCCTCAAGGAAATATGTTAATGCTGTTAAGAGCAGAAAGGTTCTGGTTTCCACTAGCGTGTAACATCTCCTTGGCAGCAGTGAAAGACACTGAGCATGAATGCTGAGTTTGTTTTCAAATGTCATTACAGATAGATTAAATTAACTTTCTGTATGAGCTTTAACATTGTATGTGGAACTAATTTTGTTTTCTCCCCTTTACATAGCGGTGCGCAATGACAGAAACAAGAAGAAGAAAGATGTGAAGGAGGAGGTTGTTCTTCCGGAGAGCTATGAGCTAAGTGGAGAGCTAGAGGAACTAGTCAATAAAGTCAGCAAAGCTCACCAAGAAACTTTCCCATCACTTTGCCAACTGGGCAAATACACCACCGTAAGTCGTGCACATAAACCCCTATCTTTCACTGCTGCATTTGGAAACTGTCTCTCAGCTACGTCAGCAGTGAATGCTCCCAGATTGCATGCTTATGAAAATTCGCAGTAACTTTCCCAACATAGTGGTGGCTTAACTAATGCAGTTCCCCATTAAGCCATCTGTGTGGCCTCGGAATGATTGATGCAACATGTAAATGGAATTCTTTCCCCACAGTTGACTGATGTAAAATGTAAATGTGAGGCTCGGTGAATCTTGCCTTTGATACAAACGTGGTTGCACACCTCCTCTTGTATGACATGCTGAACTGTGGGTGTTTTTGTTTGTTCAGAACTCCAGCTCGGACCATCGAGTCCAGCTCGATCTAGGGCTATGGGACAAGTTTAGTGAGCTTTCCACCAAATGCATCATCAAGATAGTAGAATTTGCCAAGCGGCTGCCGGGTTTCACCAGCCTCACCATCGCTGACCAAATCACTCTGCTTAAGTCTGCCTGCCTGGACATACTGGTGAGGAGCTTTTGTTTTCCCTTCTGCCCTCTTCACTCACTTTTTGTAAATAAATGATTCTGTCAAAGCTTATGCTGAAATATGGGTATGCTTCCACCCGGTGGTAAGAAGTGGCAGTGCATTCAAGTTTGCCCAGATAATGCAAAATCTATCATATATACACAACCAGACTGGAGTAGTTGGCTACCATTTTTAGCTACTGCAGATATTTTTAGTGTTGTAAGAAGTCATATTACACTACTTTACATTTTATTCACATTTTTTAACGTTCAAAAAGTTTTACACCTTGTTTTGCTTTTCAGATGCTGAGAATCTGCACACGCTACACTCCAGAACAGGACACTATGACGTTCTCAGATGGCCTGACTCTGAACCGGACTCAGATGCACAATGCGGGCTTTGGGCCGCTTACAGACCTGGTTTTTGCCTTTGCAGGCCAACTTCTACCCCTGGAGATGGATGATACAGAAACCGGTCTCCTCAGCGCCATCTGCCTCATCTGTGGAGGTACTGCAGCATGCACCTACTCTTGATTGGTCTGTTATAAAGTGGAAAGGACTTTAACAAAATAAAAGTTAAACATAATTGATTTTTGTATGTAAGAGATTATTTAAAACTGTGCCATTTATTTAAAAAAAAAGAGAGAATGAGAACATGTGTCTGCTGCTTTTTTCACTAGACCGCATGGATTTAGAAGAGCCCCAGAAAGTGGATAAGCTACAGGAGCCTCTGCTTGAGGCTTTGAAGATCTATGCCCGTCGTCGCCGCCCCAACAAACCCCACATGTTCCCACGCATGCTGATGAAGATCACTGACCTCAGGGGCATCAGTACGAAGGGTAAGAATGGAGAGAGTGCTTTCTAAGATTGAACTCTGTACACTTTCCCAAGGTCCTTGCCAGAAGAATACATCTTTTACAGGACACTCTACTAGTTCAGCTTCACTCTTCCTTTTATTCTTTATGATGTGTCCATGTATTTTGAGCCTTGCTTTCTATTTTCAGGTGCAGAGAGAGCTATCACTCTGAAGATGGAGATCCCAGGGCCGATGCCTCCTTTGATCAGGGAAATGCTCGAGAATCCGGAGGCCTTCGACGACCAAACAGAGAGCAATGAGAGCCCGCCGCCTCCACCACCGCCCCCACCACCACCGGCGCCTCCAGCCCTGGTTCTAAAGCAGGAGGCTGAGGATGAGGACGACAGCTGGGCCACCGAAAACGGCAGCGAGCCATCACCGGAAGAGGAGGACGAAGACGACGACGACGATGTGGGAGATGAAGATCGAGACAGGGGCTCGGACAGTGACGGGGAGCCCTGGGTGTTTTAACTTCCATAGATGGGTTGAGGAAAGGCCTTGCTCGGAGGGCGCAGTGAAAAGAGCATTTCATACACACACACACACACACACACACACACACACACACACACACACACACACACACACACACACACACACACACACACACATAAGTAAACATACACATATATAGCACAACCTCAT